AAGATTTTATTTATTTATTTGACAGAGAGAGACACAGCGAGAGAGGGAACACAAGCAGGGAGTGGGAGAGGGAGAAGCAGACTTCCCGTGAAGCAGGGAGCCTGATGGGGGGCTTGATCCCAGAACCCTGGGATCATGACCTGAGCCGAAGGCAGATGCTTAATGACTGAGCCACCCAGGTGCCCCAATAAATAAATCTTTAAAAAAAATAAAATTAGATTGTGATGGTCACAAAATAGTGCATATACTCAAAACCACTGAGTTGTACACTTTAAAAGGATGAATTTTGTGTTATGTAAATGACATCTCAATAAAGTTGTTAATAAAAGATAGATTTAAATAAGATCTACAAAAAGCAACCCCTATTGCTTTCATATGTAAATTATATAAAGTTGGAAAAAATATTTTTGATTATTAGGACAAAGTTGGAAAAAAAAAGAAGCAAATTATGGCCTAGATGCTCTTTAAGGGGTGCCCATGTGGTTCCCTCCCTACTATGCACCCCCCTCCTGGCCTGAGGGCGGATTTGCTCCCAGAGCTCTTTACCCTTTAGAGTTTCCCCCCTCCCTCCTCCCCTCTCTTTGGTGAGGCCCCTGGAGCTGCACAGGACTCCCACCTGCGTGTCCACACAGGCTCCCATTCCTGAGAGCCCAGGTTCTTTCTCATCCCCCACCCCGGCCCCCCCAAGACCCCTTCCCGTTCGTGCTGGCTATTTCCTGCTAGGAGAGAAAGAAACGTGAGAAAGTAGTTCACAGAAGGATCGACATCCAGTTTGTTAGTCCAATTTTTAAACCTCTGTAAGAGATCTGCTACAGACCCTTGTTACCATTCCCCCTTAGAGGCTGCTAGGCCAGGGGAGGGGAGCTCTGTAGCAGGTTGACCTACTAGCTGTGCGGCCATGTTGGGCAGGTTGGCCTCTCTGAACCCGTGACAGGCACAGCCAGTGTCCTCCCAGCCCCTGGGATCAGCACCTACAGAACCACAGCCACTAACGTGGAAAGGGCTCACGATGTGCCCAGCTCAGCAGGTATGAACTCACTCAATCCTCACAATCAGCTTCCATGGTGGTGCAAGCCATGCCCTCAGCGGATGCAGGAGAGATGGAGGCACAGAAAGATTAAGTAACTTGCCCAAGGTCACCCGGTTAATAAATGGAAAGCGTGGGGGCACCTGGGTGGCTCAGTTAAGCGTTTGCCTTCAGCTCAGGTCATGATCCCGGGGTCCTGGGATCAAGCCCCTATGTTGGGCTCCCTGCTCAGTGGGGAGCCTGCTTCTCCCTCTCCCTCTGCTGCTTCCCCCAGCTCGTGCTCTCTCTCTCTAATAAATAAATAAAATCTTAAAAAAAAATGGAAGTGTGGACCCCAACCCAGATGGGCTGTCTCCAGAGTCCATGTTCTTAATCAGTTTGTCCTACTGTGCCTGAGGGACTGGCCCTCGTTTATTAGTAACAGTAAGAGGAGAGAGAGGTGGCTGTTCACTGAACACCACTGTGCATCTCACTTAGTTCTCCCAGTTGCTCTAGAACGGGGCTCAGTGACATGAGATGCCTGACTGGCGTCACCCACGGTCAACCAGAGGCAGAACCTATATTCCTATCCAGACCCGTCCCTCTCCAAGTCCTCTCTCTGCCACCCTGTCCCATCTTATTATCAAACTATTATCTATCCATCCACCCATCCATCCATCATCATCATCTATCATCTATCATCTCCTTTTCTATTGGTTCTGTTCCTCCGAAGAACCCTAAGACAGATGTCTTTCTCTGCATCTTTTGTGGGGCTTTGCCTATAGTTAGGAACTCAGTTAAGTGTAATTGCCTAGGGTTTACTGACCACCTGGGTTAGGTTCCGACCCACTTTCAAAGTCTCCGTGTGAGGCCAGGGCCTTGGAGGTCTAAGTCCATCCCCACACACACAGGTAGGCACAGGGCTCCTCGCGATCACATGGCAGCTTCCCCGGTCTTTGTTCCTCCCTGGAACGCCTGAGGCTGCCCACTTAGTGTCCTCCCTTTCTCCTTTCCTGCCCCTAGAGACAGTCTGTGATTCAGGAAAAAATGAACTGCTTGCTGGTTATTTTTAAAACTAGGTATTATTCAAATACCTTTGGGGCCACCTGTCTACCTCCATTTCTTCTATATAATGAGTTATAGCACCAGAAATCTGATGTAGCATTTTCCAAAGTGACTTCATATGCCCTTGCTCATCAGACTCTCCTAATAGCCTCTAATAAGTGGAATTGTTGGTGAACGTCAGTGATTTTGGGCCTTGCATTATTTCTGGTATCAGACCCCCTATTAGTCTGGGGGACGTTTTCCACAGCCTCAACGCACCTTTCAGTTGGGTCTGACACTGCCCTTCTAAGTGTGGTCATGTGACCTAACCTGGCTGGTGAGAGGGGCCCATTCCCCTAACTCCTGATTGGCTCAGGATTGGGCACATGACCCAAGCTGAACCAATGAAACTCAACCCTTGCAACTATTGGAGGTCCTGCTAGGTTTGATGAACCAACTAGTAGCCTGTAAGCCTAGAACTTACAGACATGATCTTTCCACTGCAGGGAGAAAGCCTGGCAGAGAATGATACCAATGTAGAAGAAAGCTGAGCTGAATGATAAAATGGCCCTTTGAATCTGTGGATCCGGCATCGCTGGCGGATCCTGGCGACTGCAGGACATAATGTCCCACTTCTTAATTTCACCAGCTGATAAGTTTTCCTCTTGGTTTAAGTTCCTTACTGTTGAGTATGTCACTTGCACCTGAAAGTGTTCTGACTCATTCAAGGTTGTCATCTCCACGGAAGGTGAAGAAACAGGTCAGGGAAGTGAAATTTGCCCAAGGTCACTTGGATGTTGCGTGACAGAGCTGGGAATGGAACCGAAGTCTCTGAGGCCAGTGACACCTGCTGTCTTGTAAGCAAAGGGCAGATAGCCTGGTTATTGCTGGTCAGTGCCAGCACCACAGAAAGCATGGGCCATCATTCACAACAATGTCCCAGTGGGCTGATCACCTGAGGCTCTAGGAAAATGATTCACCAACCCTAGAGAACCATCACCAAACGCCCCTTGTAGCTGGGCATACCCAAAGAGACCTGGCCCTGGGGCTTGCCCATTCAAGATAGGAGTGACCCAGAGACAACCACAGAGCACAGAGAGCTGCCCTTCTTCTGGAAGGTGAGGACCATGGCCCCTTCCTCCACGCCCACCCTAAGTGCAGCCCTGATCCAGGATAGCGGGGGCCATTGCCAAGGTTCCTTGCTTGGGGTGAGGGGCGCCTAGGAGGGTAGGCTGAATTGTGCCCAGGGTGGGAAAACTATGCCTTGGTCTGGCCCCAAGGAAATGTGGAATTAGGCCAGTGCTGCCCCGACTTCAGCCATATCAAGGCCACCTTTAAGAGTTCTGCTATGGGGTTCCCCGGGTGGCTCAGTCAGTTGAGCGGCTGGCTCTTGAGTTTGGCTCAGGTCATGATCTCAGGGTCGTGGAATCGAGCCCCGGGTTGGACTCTGTGCTCAGTGGGGAGTCTGCTTGAGATTCTCTCTCCCTTTCTCTCTGCACACATCCCCCACCCCACCACTCACGCTTTCTTTCTCTCAAATAAATAAATAAATCTTAAAAAAAAAAAAAAAAAAGGAGTTCTGCCATGGCCCAGGGCCACCTTTACTTCATCCCTATTTCAATAAATATCTATAATTACTTTCATGAATTGAAAACTGCTTTCACTTTGTGGAAACAAAAGAAAAAAAGAAAACTGCCATCACTTGTCAAAAATATTGACCCCAGGGGCACCTGGGTGACTCAGGCGGTTGAGTGTTGGTTCAGGTCACGATCTGGGGGTGGTGGGATCAAGCCCCAAGTCAGGCTCCTCACTCAACGGGGAGTCTGCTTGTCCCTTTGCCTCCCTCTCTGCCCCTCCGCGTGTACCTGTGTGCTCTCTCTAAAATAAATAATAAATTAAGAAAAAATATTGACCTCAAAGGTAGATACAATGAAAACAAAACCACAGTGTTAAAGTTTAACTCAAGATAGTTGGCCGACTAAGGTATGGACCCGGAGTCTGGCTCTGTTAAAGAGACGCATTGAAGAGAGGCTAGCGCCAGGGCCTTGGCCCTCAGGGCTATCCCTCTCCCCTGCGGCCAGGGGTGCACCTGTGCCTCCCAAGCTCTGGAAAACCCGGAGGTGAGCACGCTGTAACTCTGAGCAAGGGCACACGGGCCATGGGAGGGTGTATTTATAGCACTGTTTCCGGGCCAAGGCTCTTGGCGCGCAGGAGCTCCCAGTTAGCAGACTGGTAACTCAGACAGGAAAACGGAACCACCAGTAAAGATGATCTCACTGAGTGATCGAGCCCCAGTTAAATTATTCATTCATTCAAGATTTATTGAGCGCCTCCTGTGGGCCAGGCACCGTGCTGGGCGCAGAATTACAGAGATGCATAAGATACAGTCCATGCCCTGAAGGGTTCACAGTCTAGGAAGGGAGACAAACATGTAAACAAGTAACATACAGTGTGAGAAGTGCCACGAGGGAGAAGCATTTACAAAGAGCAGAGGTAGCCTGGAGGGTGAGGGGCATGGGGGTTGTCTTCCTGGATGAGGGGGCCTTTGAGGGGGGTCGTGAGAGATGAGTGGGTGTTTACCAGGCAGACAAGGCCGGAGGAGCGGGGGAAAGGCATTCCAGTCTGAAGGAACAGCATGAGCAAAGGCACAGCGGCATGGAACTGCATGTCTCGGGGGGGCGGGGAACTCTATTCTGGAGGTATTGCTAAAGTTGGTACCAGAGGCTATGGCTGGGGACAGGGGCAGAGGCGGGATGATGAGGGGACACTGAGGGCAGGGGGTATCTCGGAGGCTCACCAGAGGCGAGCAGAGCCCGAGGGAAAGCTTGAACACAGGAAGAGAAGGCTCCCAGCTGACCCGAGGTATGCTTGCTCGAGGACCTTAGGGATCCTCTCTGTGGCCCTGAAGGGACCTGGACCAGAGACCAGAGGAGAGGCTGAGCTGGGTTTCAGACCTGGGGTCCTGGAGGCCACCACCCACTCAAGAGCTGACAGCTCTCTGCTCCCAGACTTCTGATTTCTGCACTCTGCTGAGTGGACCCCTTTCCCCAGCCAGGATGGGACCAAGGATCGAATGAGAAATGACATGGGGATGTTCTTGGCAAACCGCAGAGGGCCAGAGGAATGGCTTCGTAACTAAAAGAGGAGAGGGCCTGAGGGTAAAGCAGGAGTTAGAACAAGGCAGAAGTTCCTAAGAACAAGGGCCATCAGGAGAAAACTGCTGTGGCTGGGGCGGAGGATGGCTCTCTGCCCCCTGGGAAGGGGGGTCCTTTGGGCCCCGCCTGTGGGGCTGCAGTCCCAGCTCCCAGTGTCTCCTCAGCCTGAGGGTGCTGTTTCTGTGGCAACCAGGACCCTCCCTCTTCCAGGCTGCAGGGGAGTCACTGAGGCTGAGACTGTCCAGACACGCAGACGTCAAGCCCTTTCATCTTTCCCAGAAATGGCTCTGTTTAAAAAATGCCTTCATGGTGGTGGGGGGGACACAGGGGGGAGGCTTGGGGAGGAGGGCCAGTGTCTCAGGACACCGGAGCCCAGCTGCCCCTCTGAGTGACCACTTTTCCAAGGCACCACACCTCAGGCCACTCTGGGGGGCCTGAGCGTCGTTCCCAAGCCTGGAAGGGAGAAGGGGGGAAAGGTCTCAACCTGCTCACGACTCCTGCTGGCCTGGGTTCAGGGGCTGCAGCGAGTGAGGCCTCCTGAGGGAGCGGCGACCAGCACTCTCTGCTTCCTCACCAGGGGCAGGAGCGGGACCAGGGAGGAGGCACCCTCCCAGCTGGGTCTGGAGATGTCCCAGACCCTCTCCTCTCGCCCTGGATGACTCAGCCTACCCTGCCCCCCCATGGGGTCTCCGAGCCTTTGACCAGCCTCCATCCTCTTGGTCTCATGGCCTCGTCCCCTCCGTCCCCTCGTCCCTCCTCAACCCGACGGTGCTGGGGCCTGAGGCCCACCGTGGGCGCCGATGAGGTGGTGGCAGCAGCAATGAGGGGGATGGTGTGGTGAGGGGGATGGTGTGGTGCGGGCGATGGGGGGGCCTCCCCGCTGTGGGGGGCAGGCTGTGGTGGGCTGGGGGCTGTCACTTGCTCTTGTGCAGGTCCTTCAGCTGGCGGAGCTTCTCCAGGAGCTGGGCCCGGGAGCAGCCGTCGTCCCCCGTGGGGCCCGGGCCTGGCCCCAGAGCCTCCTGCAGCACCAGACAGTGCGTCCTCAGGAAGGGGTTGTAGGAACGCTCTTCTCCCAGGGTGGACGGGCACTGTGGGACGAGAGGCACCGGTCTGGCGGAGAGTCTGGAAGCCTCCCTGTCCCCTCCCATCTTAGGGGCCAGGGGGCCTCCCTTGAAGGCCTGTGTACCAAACATGTCGGGGCTCTAGGGATGGGTCTGCAGGCCGCAGCTCAGCATGGAGGGGCTCCTGCTGGGAGTGCCCTGGGCAACCCCCCCTCCCCCCCGGGCTGGACCCCAGGCCCTGCCCCGCACGCACTGTGCTCTTGCGCTCCATTCGCTGCCTCTGGACCCACTGCATCTTCCTCTCCCGGGCCAGGTTCTCGGGCTCCACCACACCTGCAAAGCCCAGGTTCTCTTCTGCGTACTCGTGACCTAAGGACCACCGGGGGTGGGGGCCAAGATGCAGGACACAGAGAGAGGGGTGGTGTGGTCAGAAAAAGCCCTCCGGCTACCTGACGACCAGGGGGAGGGCTAGCACTGCCAGGAAAGCCCCAACCACATGGGGCTGCTTCTCTAAATGTGGGCACAGGTCAGCCATGAGCGAAGGGGCCGAAGCGGTTCAGGGGCAAAACCGCCAGACCTGGAGCTGGGAGCCCCGCATCCTAGCCCTGACTCCGCCCCTGCCCAGCTGTGCAACCTCAGCCAAGTCATGGCACCTCTCTGAGCCGCAGTTTTGTCATCTGGCAAGTGGGAAAAATAATGCTCCTAGAACACACATGTGTTCCCGGTGCCTAGGACAGAGCCTGGTATGCGTTTGGCATTCAATCAAGTATTTGTCAAATGAGTGGATGGATAAATATACGTTCCGAAGATTTGCTGACATCTCAGCGATGTGTTTGAGGAACTATGGCTATCCAATGTTCGTGGATGTATGTAGGGACATGCAGTGTCTGGACGCCTGGACGGACAGATGTGCCACATACATGCATGGGGATGGATGCACACACAATGTGGGCTATGGATGCATGCAGTGGATACGTGCAGAGCGGATTTACTGACTTCTCTGATAAGCAAAGGCTGTTTTCTGTTCTCGGCTCTGGCTATAAAATATCAGCCATCTCTCTGGGATGCACTGGGGCCTGCAGGGCTCCCAAGAGGCCGAGGGCTGGCTGTCAGGGGCAGTTGGCGTGAGAAGCAGAGGCATTCAGAGCCAGAACTCCAGAATGAAGGGGGCTCTGCCCTCACGGCTAGAGTTGGCTCCAGAGCTGGAGTGGTGTCCCCTCTGGGCCAGCAGCTGGGGCGGCTGGAACTCCAGGGGAGTGAGGGAGGAGTGGGAGGGGGACCTCACCAGGCCACAGCAGAGTGTCATCCCCCAGCCCCAGCACCGTGTCCAGGGAGCTCAGCATGGTCTCTGCGGTGCCCTCAAAGGTCCGTCCTGGTGAGGGGCAGTGGGTGTGTTACAAGGTAGAAGAACACAGCTCAGTCTAAGGTACATGGAGGGGGGTGGGGACCAGCGTGCATAGCTGGGGCTGGCCACCAGGCCTCAACCTGGCCCCTGCCACACTCACCCCCCAGGCCTCTACATCCTCCTTCCCACTGGTTGCTGAGCCCACAGTCACTCCCCAACCAAGCCTGTGGGAAGGCCCACATTGCACATATTGACACGTGGATGGAGAGGGGGATGGAATCTTCAGGCTGAGTGCCCAGGGCCCCAGGCACAGTTGGTGTGGGGTGGCTCTTTTCCATGGAGCACTTCTTTCTTTGCCTGGGCTGCCCTCTGAGACTCCGCGCAGCCTGGGACTGTGATCCTCCCCTACCCACGGGTCACCCTCTCATTCGGCGCTTCTCCACTTTTTGCAACCTAGTCTCTCCAGGTACTGGAGAACGAGGTAGGCTCTACCCAGTGGAAACAAACGCCCTGCCAGGTCTGTACTCAGTTGCAAGCATTGTCTCATTCTGTGCATCCCCTGTGGGGGAGTCGTGAGGGTGTTCAAAACAATGGGCTAACACGACGGGAGTAACAGCAAGGCAGTGTCTGCACTGAAAGCAAAGTTTTCGTGCACTGCATGCAGCTGTGCTGTCCTTGGGTCTCTGCCCTGACCCCCACCCCCCACTCCTGCTTCCCTTTTTGGGAGGAACTCACCACAGCCAGAGAGGAAGAGCAGGTCCCCTGAGAAGAGGCAGGAGGGACCCTTGTAGGGCTCCCCATCCAGCAGGTAGACCAGATGGCCTTGCGTGTGGCCAGGAGTGGCCAGAGCCTGGATCTGAAGCCGTCCCACGCTAACCACATCTTGATGACACAGGGGACTGAGAAGCAAGGCAGTAGGGGAGAGAAGGTGCTAGAGCTTGGGCCGTGCTGATCCTTGCCCTACCCGAGGCCCAAGGTGCTGGGTGATTTGAAGGAGGCAGGGACATGCAGTGTCTGGACGGAGCCTTACTGTTTGCCCTGCTCAGTCCTCAGGTCCAAGAGGGAGAAGGGGACAGACACACCCCACACCAGACAGGGAAGCACTGACAGTGCCCAGGGCTTCAGATCCAAACCCTCGTCTCTCCCTCTCTTGGGGACCATGGCTGGATGAGTTGGGGGGTGGGCTGTGATATGCCCTCTAAGGGCCACGAAGGGCTTCAGCAAAGATCCAACTGCTGGCAGTCCTGCAACAGTCGACTGCAGGATGGGGTGTGGGAAAGGGGGCACAGAAGGGCCACCCACCCCGGGTCAGGGACTTACTGGGTGAGGTAGGGGATGCCGTCCTGAGGGCTCCCATACACCCGACAGTCCTGGTGCCACCGGCTGAGGTCACGATTTCCTCCACTGTGGTCCCTGGAGGATGGCAGAGACAGGCAGGGACTCTGAGGGGCAATGGTACTAGGCCTCTTTGCCTTCCTCGTTCCAGATCTCCAGGCCTTCGAGCCCTGAGCCCTAGGCTTCTGAACTGAGCCAAGCTGTCCACACCTCTAGGCCTTTGTTGGAGCTGCTCCCCTGCTCTCAGCGTCATCCCCACGACTTGCCACCCCTCCCCTCCATCGCCCAGCCAATGCCGACTGATCTTTCTGGACTCTCTCAGCTCCAGGGTCATCAGCGTCTAATTCCTCCAAGTGGATCTGATCACACTTCACCAAGGGCCTCCACCTCGTGTACTTTGTGCCAACTGCCACCTAAATGTTTGTCATTGTTGTACACTGTCACACAAGGCTGTCTCCCCTACCGACTATAATCTCCTTGAGGAAAGAACTCACAGGGTTTGCCCATGTCCTGAGCACACTGGGCATCTAATACATGCCCAAGGAACGAAAGATAAATGCCTGCCCTGCCCTCCTCTAGGGTTTCAGGAGCCTGATAAGTGCTGCGGTGGGAGACCCACCCATTCCCTCCTTCTCTGCTGGTGCCCCCATGACTTTATGAAGAAGGTGGGTGCCCTCGCATCCTGACTCCCTGCCCCCCAGCCCAGCCTGTCCTCACTGGGCCTAGTCCTGCCAAGCCCACTGGGGCAAGGGTCGGCCAGGGAAGATCATCTGTACCCAGACCCCCACCCCAGCCCCTTACCAGTGCTTGTGGGTGCAGAGGATGGCAACCAAATTAACGCCCTCCTTTTCAATGGAAGCCTGGGGGAGAGAAGAGGTACTGAGACGGAGGAGCAGTGTGCAGGAAGGGACAGGGGTGCAGGTGCTGGGCAAAGGGGGGAGAGCAGGGAGGATGAGGGACAGGGAGGTGATGAGCTAGAGAATGAGAGGGTAGGGAGGAGAAGGCTGGGGAGAAGGGGGGCAGCCAAGGCTGAGCCAGGGCATAGGGGAGGCCATGGGGAGGTGGGTGGAGGGAGGCGCGAGGGGCAGAGGAACACACAGATACATGTGCACACAGAGAAATAAGAAATGGGAAGGAAAGATGGAGAGACCCAGACACTGACAGACACAGATGAGGAGAGAAGTAGGAGGGTCAGAAAGGTGCCACAGAGAGTGAAAGACAGAAGAAACCTCAGACCATGGTCCTGAGTCAGCATCCCTTTCCGTCTGGCTCGGCTTCCCCCTCGGCTGTCCCCGCCCCCCCACCAGCCCCCGCCTCGCCCCGGACACTGGCCCCACCCCCTGCTGTGGTTGGGGGGGTCTCTGTGTGTACTTGCATGTCAGGGCCTGTGTGTGAGGGCACAAGGAGGGGGCACATCCCACCGGCAGAGGGGTCAGGGACTGCCCCTCTCCAGTGAGGGAAAGCTGCCAGTCCCCACGATGACCCAAAGTGCCCCTGCCCCGCCCCCAGTCCTCCCCTCACCTGTACGGCCTGAGGGTCTGAGGGGTCCACAGCCACAGCCAGCCGGGCATGGGTGTCGATGATGAGGTAGCTGTAGTTGTCTGAGAGGACGGGGATGGGAAGCACCTTCACTCCTGGGGGACAGAGACGGGCCGTGGGCGGGGTGCCGGGCACGGAGCCCAGCGGTCGAGGGGGGTAGTATGATGGCGCGTAGGCGGGGGTGGGGCTGGGCACGGCTTGGGGCCACGCTGGCCCGGGGCAGCCAGAGCTCACCGTTGAAGAGGCGGGGCTGCGTTCTGGAGTGGCCTTTGGGGTAGCGGTTCCGAGCCCTGCGCAGCTGCTGGCGGTAGAAGAGGTACCCGAGCCAGGTGCGCGTGTACAGGCTGTACCTGCAGGGCGGGAGGTCTGCGCTCAGCCCCGCCCCCGTCTCCACCCTCGGCCACACCCGCAGTCGGCGCGTCTCCGCCGTCACTTAGCGTGTGCCTCCCGTGTGCCCTGCTCGGGCTCTCCGTCCTCAGGCCGAGAGGGAGAAGGGGACAGACACCCCCAAGCCCCAGGCCCACCGGGGGAGATGTGAGCTGAGGGATTCACAGAAGGGACTCAGAGGTGAGGGGTTTATTCCCCAAAAGGGGTGGAGGAGTTAGGAAGCGAAATGAGGTGGGAAACGTAGTTCCAAAGAGCAGTGGCGCATCACATCACGCCGGGGAGCTGCTGAACCAGATTCCCTGCCCCGTCCCCCCGTCTGTGCCGGCTCAGCCGGTCCGGGGTGGGGCCTGGGAATTTGCATTTCTAACAAGCTCCAGGTGCTGGTGGTTGCCGCTGGCCCGGGGACCAAACTCGGAGAGCCTCCGGGGCAGAGGAAACAACACGCAAGGCCCAGAGGCAGCAGACAGCAGGGCCTTGTTTGGGGAAACTATAGAAAGTTCTGTCCGGTGGGTTGGTGGGTTGGTGGAGGAAGCAGGCAGAGGCGAGGCGGGATGGCCTGACCACACTCCCTCTTCCCACCACCATGTCAGGCCATCTCAGGCTACAAATGCGACAGGCGAGAAAGTGGCACAAGGCACAGAGGGGTCTTGTGGCTAAGAGTCCTCCAAACACAGGATGGCGGCATGCAGGGCGAGCATGTGACCGGCGCAGGCACACACGGCCCCACGCTGGGTTCAATGCTCCACTGCCGCCATCTTGAAATTCTTCATGATTTTACCTTTGGATTTGTGTCCCGGAAGTGAAGTCTGATAGGACGAGGGAATGCGGGGTCGAAGCCCACACAGTATGCGCATGCTCGGTCCCTGCTGTTTCCCCCCGCCCCACGTTCACGGTGCCCACGAGCACAGGATTCTGGTGGCCCCACCGTGGTGGGGATTCAAGACTCAAAGGGGCTACAAGGTGAGTATACAACTATGTATACAGAGGCCACGCCTTTGGTCCAAACCAGAACGTGCTTCAGATGCATAAAGAAGGTGCTCTAAGAAACACAAATGACCGAGAAACCCTGCCCCATCCTTTCTTACTCGTGTTACTTCCCTGTATGATCCGTTTTCGCTGCAAACAACGCTACAGGAGGCAAGGGAAAGAGGGTAGCCCATCTGTCCTGTCCCTTCCGTCCTCCCTGGCTCGTTAGTAAGCCGGAGGCAGACGGGGCTGGCAGAACGTGGGTGTACCAAAAGTGAAAATAGAAACAGGTGATTCCGTTTTGTGCGGCATTTCCACTGCTTGGGTAAGAACAAAATACTGTGTACAAGCTAGGAAACGTGAATTACAGTTTCAGTGATTTCATATGTGACTTAAATGTCCTTATATTTGCATTTGAAACTGGGATTGTACAGGGGTGCCTGGGTGGCTCAGTTGGTTGAACCTCTCCCACTCGGTTTCAGCTCAGGTCCTGATCTCAGGGTTTTGGGATAGCGCTCTGCGCTGGTGTGGAGCCTGCTTGGGATTCTCTCCGCCTCCTACCTGTAACCCTCCCCTCCCCCCCGCAAATCAAAAACAAAAAACTGGGATTGTATATAATAAAGCAAAAGGCAAAATTCATGCTGATAATTTAGATTTTTAATTTTTCTTTACTTATGCTGATGTTAAGTAGCAAATTAAAAACATCAGGACAGGGGTGCCTGGGTGGCTCAGTCGTTAAGCGTCTGCCTTCGGCTCAGGTCATGATCCCAGGGTCCTGGGATCAAGCCCCACATCAGGCTCCCTGCTCCATGGGAAGCCTGCTTCTCCCTCTCCCACTCCCCCTGCTTGTGTTCCCTCTCTCACTGTGTCTCTGTCAAACAAATAAAATCTTAAAAAAAAAAATAAAAATAAAAACATCAAGACAAGTCAAAAGCGAAATCATAGAAGAAAGGAAAAGCTTATATTTTAGTATCTTTCATGGCACCTTTTTCCTGCTCTTTGAGCAAGAGGCTCCAGATTCCATTTTACACTGGGCCCTGCAAATATTGTGAGCAGCCCAGCCAGCTCAGGACGAGCCACTTCAAACTGTCTCACACCTTGGTCTCTCACAAGGAAAAATGAGACCAGGGTGGGGTGCTGGGCTGCTGGTGTCAAAAGCCTCCTGTGTCAATGTTTAGGGTCATCCAGCAAGTCAGTCAGAAAAGGGGCAGGGATTCTGGCTGATTAAGACTGAGACAGAGAAGGGGCACCTTGGTGGTTCAGTTGGTTAAGTGTCTGCCTTCAGCTCAGGTCGTGATCCCAGAGTCCTGGGACTGAGCCCCATGTCGGACTCCCTGCTCAACGTGGAGTCTGCTTCTCCTTCTCCCTCTGCCCCTCCCCCCTGCTCGCTCTCTCTCCTGCTCTTTCTCTCTCAAATAAATAAATAAAATCTTAAAAAAAAAAGCCTGAGAGGAGTCAAGGTGCAGGGTTGGGGGTAGATGATGGACCCTAAATATCTATGGAGATTTGCTGTGTCTGTCTTGGGGTGGAGGGGGCAGGGGCAGCCGCTCTTGAGGCCCCTTTGGGAAGAGCTGGCTGATTTGTCTACAAACAAGTTGGTCAAACATGAGCAGGTCTCCATGATTGCATTAGAGATTAATCACTGCCATCTCTGTTCTGGGTGCCTGTGCACCCGTGTGCCTCGGGAAATTGGACACCCTGTGGCAGGGTTTTGCCATGCTTTCTGTGTCTTTATGTCCAGTTTCCATAGTCTTTCTTTCTTTCTCTCTCTCTTTCAGATTTTATTTATTTATTTGACAGAGATAGAGAGTACAGCCAGGGGGAGCAGCAGTGGGAATGGGAGAAGCAGGCTCCCCACTGTGCAGGGAGCCCGACGTGGGGCTCGATCCCAGAACCAACCCTGGGATCACGACCCGAGCTGAAGGCAGACGTCCAACCGACTGAGCCACTCAGGCGCCCTGGCCCTCTTTCTGTTTCATTTTCAAATCAGTTGCAGATCTTCCCACTTTCACCCATGCAACAGTATTTAGTGAGGCCTGGCTCGGCTTTGGGCAGAGTGAGTAAGGCAGAGTCACTGCCCTCTGGCAGCTTATACATAAGCTAGTGGGACAGGCAGGATAACAAACACATTGTCAAGTCAAGATGACAACACCAAACTGGGCAACAGAACAGAGAATGGTGACATCAAGGAAGGCCACTCTGGAGGTGACATTTCTAAGAAGTGAGGGGGCCCGCTGGGCCAGAATCTGGGGAAGGCTCACCAAGAACGGGACAGACGGGAAGTGTAAAAGTCCCCGCGGGGAGGAAAGCACCCAGCCGGCAGGGGCTGCCCGTTCTCTGCGCTGTGCTCTGGTAATTACAGAGCCGGCGCACCAGATAGGCCCAGCAGGAAGGGATCGGCTGGAACAACATAAATGTCCTGGATCGGATTCTAGACCAGAAGAGGAATGTTAATGGGACAACTGGAAAAATTTCAGTAAGGTCTGGAGAGTCGGTAAGAGTTTATATGGACGTTAACGTCTCGGTTTTGCTGACTGTCTGTGGTTAGGGAAGACGTAGCATTCAGGGGAGCCCGGTGAGAGGTATAGGTGGATCCTGTGTACTGTTTTCGCAAGTCTGAAATTATTTCAAAATGAAAACTTAAAAGATCATAAATAAGTCAATAAAATCACTTTTGTCTGTGCCCTGACACCACCTTGCATCCATGCCTGGAGTCCTGTTCCTGACCTCACTCCTTCCTACTTAGGCTTATAGAAAGTGCCTGGGCCCTGGCCACAGGAAGCTCTGGGTTCCAGTGATGGCTTGGCGCCCCCAGCCCCGTGTCCTTGGGCGAGTTATTGGTCTCTTAGATCAGCTTCATCTACAGAGTGGCGACACCATGACTTAGTCCTGCAGGACTGTGTGAACGTTCAGTGACATAAAACAAGATAACAAATGTGAATAGTCCGCCGAGGGCCTGGTGGGTGGAAGGTTTAGCAACTGTCGCTTCCTTCCCGAATTCAGCCGGGGCCCCCTCACAGCTGTTGGAACATGGCTGTCCACATTCGGGAGGGACTGATAAATGTTGCCTGTCTTCCCTTACTGGATGATTCTTATATGTGCTTTCTCCCCCAGCGAAGGTCAAGAGCCACGAGGGCAGGGGCTGTGCACTGGGAGGCTGCCATCAACAAGGCCCCTTTCTTTCATTCACTCTCTTCAGCAAATCCTTGCTGCACGTGCTGGACGCAGGGCAGAGAGCAGAGAGCAAGGCCGTCGGGGCCGCCAGACCCCAGACCAGGAAAGGAGTCAGTCAGAGGCAAGGGCCGCCAGACCCCAGACCAGGGAAGGAGTCAGTCAGAGGCAAGGGCCGCCAGACCCCAGACCAGGGAAGGAGTCAGTCAGAGGCAAGGGCCGCCAGACCCCAGACCAGGGAAGGAGTCAGTCAGAGGCGAGCGGCTGAGTGCAGCTGGTGAGGGAAGAGAGCAGCAGAGGGGACGCAGTCTGACTGCAGACAAGGTGCTCAGGGAAAAGGCCTGGCTCTTCCCTGACGGTCACACCTGAGCCGGAACGGAAAGAAGAGACGGAGGGCAGGCTGTCCCGGGCGCAGTGGCACCAAGGCCCCGAGGCAGGCAGGCATGTTCTAGGAGTTGCCAGGCAGGGCGGAGGGATGGAGAGTGCCAGGGAAGGGGTCAGCGGGGTGGGCAGGCCAGCCTGGGGGTGGGGGGGGCATTGCTGGCGGGTTTTAAAGCGGGGAGGCACATGCTTTGACTTCCCTGTTTAAGAGCTTGGGGGCCTGCAGTGCTGGAGGGAGCGGTGAAAGGGCGCAGGATGGCAGGTGGCCGGAGGAACTGAGTCGTCAGTGGGGGACATGACAAGGGACTGTCAGGGTGACAGGACTGGAGGGGTGAGGCAGAGGTAGGGGGGAATGGATGCCAGACCTGAGATGGGTGCCCTGCTTGGCTATGGGGGGAGGGACGAGGTGGCTTTGTGGGCCTGAGGTCTGGGTCACTGTACAGAG